ATGAATTTCTCCACAAAACTACCAAAACATGTAAACACACACAGAAAAAGTATGCATATTTTAAACGAGTTATTCAAAAAGTTTGAAACTCCTGAAAACATGCATTTGCATGACAATTTTGTATCTAATTATCACATTAAATCCAAATCTGTAGTTTGTAAACATTATTTAGATCAGAATTTTGAAAAAATTAAAACTTTAAAACAGGCAAACAATTATTTTTACCTAATTACTTAAAGTAATCAATGTAATAAAATAAACAGTTTGTTTACTAATTCCATTATTATTATTATTATTATTATTATTATTATTAATATTATTATTATTATTATTATTATTATTATTATCATCATCATCATCATTATCATTTCATAAAATAAAAATTAACATTATCATCTCAATATACCTTTAATATCTACGGATTATAAATAATTACATTGAAAATGAATCTTCATTTTGATTATGATTATTTTAATTATGAATATCATTTATTTATTATATCATTTACATATCATTGAATATCATCATATTTATGATTATGAATTTCATTTTTATTATGAATTATCAATGAAAATCAACATTAACAAACTCATAAATAATAGCTAATTAAAAGCCTATATATTGAATCAAATTAATTCACATCTAAACCAATAGTTTAGTTTCAAGTCTTTTTCTGTAAAGATATGCTGTACTTTGATGCTATTCGATGTAAATGATATGAATATTTTAGCAATTACTAAACAATGATTGTTACTTTGGGCTCCCTGTTTCACTCTCACATCTTGTATTTTGAGTGAAGTTTTTTGCTTGGTTACACAGATCGTTATCTAATTTCTCAAGATGGAAATTTAATTTGTGTGTGTGCGAGTGTGTATACACACACACACACATACATATATATTTTTTTTGTTTCACAGTTTAGGCCATGCACCACAATCAGTCCCCAGAGAATTTAGGGGACTCTCTTCCATTCTTTGATTCGTACTGCCCAGCTTCAGTAGGGCTTGCTTTTTTGAGTAGCTGGGGTCCCAAGCAAGAGAAGTTTGCTACCATGTTTCTCTCGTTTGAGAGTAAATTTAGTTACGCTTTCTTTCTTTAATTTGTACTGTCCACTCTCAGTATAGCTCGCTTATGCCTGAGCAAGAGGCATTTGCTGCTGTGGTTCTCTCGCTTGAGAGTAATTTCAGTTATAGTCTGATTCCATACCAACTTATTCGGTTCCCCAGCTCCTAGGCCCGAGCAAGAGGCGCTTGCATCACTAGTCAGTGTTTCAGAATATTTCATCTGAGACTAAATTGGTTTTCAAACAATCCTTTAAATATTACAAAATAATAATTAAATAATTTTGTCTTTTATTATCTTGTTTGACATTTCAGGAGTCTGGGTTTATTCCCAACTTGATACATGTTGACTACTGTATTGATATGTTCTACTTTGAATGCATTTGCCATCTTATTACCATTATTTTACATTTGTTTGACATTATTCTGGTTTAGCTCCAATGTGCTATCATACAATGCTCAAAGAGGAAAAGAATGGCCTTTTCTTGCAGTTGGCATGATACCACAGAGAACAAACTAAAAAGAACAAAAATGATATTAAGAAATTTATAAACAAATTATGGACAAATTTTGAGAATCCAGCAAAATGTATTCTCACGTGAAATCACTTGCTTTTTCAGAAAATAATCAAGTCTGAAATACGGAAAAAAATAAATATTGTTTAACAACTGACATAAATTGATAAAATTATTGTTCTTGTAGCAACATATTCTTATAATATTCACTATTTCATTTTAAAATATATTTCTGTATTTTGTCCCTATCCATTACTATCCCCCACTTATGTTCCTAAATTACTAAATAAATAAATAAAACTTCAATTAAACTCAATAAAAATTAACTTTCAATAAAAATTCAATAAAACTAATGAATTTGCCATTCTCTTAGTCTTGAGATTCTTCATTTGCACTTGTCTCTTTACAAAACTGAAGTAAAGCCAGGTAGCAAAATTTTTCACCATGAAAATGAAATATAAGGTTGAATTTCAATATTTTCCCTTCCTAAAAAATTGTATTTTTTGGAAATGTCACTTTAGAAAATAAGCTCTTCAATTACTGGAAAATAAATTTAACAACAACAAATTATGATTTAAATTATAAGTTATGGTTTTCTTTTAGCTACCACATAACAAGGAGAAAACCACAAGATTTAATACCACCAAAAAGAAATTGTTGCCACATTTCTGAGCTAATCGCTAAAATTAGTCATAATTTTAGAAAAAAATAGAGCCTTTACCATTGCGAATAACTCCTTCTAAGCACAATAGGATCTGAGCCAGTCGGATGTCCTTATCATCATGAACTGCTCTTCGACAATGATACGTTCTAATATCCTCACGACATGCTCTGGCAAGACCACGACTCACTTTATAGTCTTGAGCAATAAGCTTCTGTCTCCATGATAAGTGCTCCTGACACTGCAGAGAAAATATATTTAATTGAGAACAAAGCCAAATGGCAAAACTACAATGGTTAATTTTCTAAACATTAATAATATTCAAGTCAGCAGCAGCAGCTTTGCAACTTATAACATCTGATGACAAAACAGGGCAAAATTACAATTTACTCAAGATGTTAACATATTAACAATCTATTCATAAAAATACTAAAATTCATCATTGGAAACAGCTGAGAATTTCCCCCAAATCTGAAAAACATAAAAGAAATGCGTCCTCTCAATATATAAATCAAATACTTTCATCAACATATCAAATTAAAATTTTAAATGAGATGACTTAAGAGTCAAAGAAATATACACACAAAGAAACAGTTACACAATTGATAACATTGGTCATTTGGAACCCTCTACATTCAAGCTAAAATGTTGTCTTGAACATATACAACACAAATACTGAGATTTTTAGCATACAAAACAGGAAAGGCTGTGAAAAGATTTTCACAAGATGATTCGTTTGCTCTGGAGATGTTGGGCCAAAAATCTCTTGAGCAGAGGTGCAGCATGAATGATCTGTTATTCTTTTTTAAAATTATCTTATAGATGCTTGAAAAGATACCACCATCTAGGATGGAGTAGTTGGCAAAGGTCACCTTCACCAGACTATCAAAGACCACAAACGATTTCTTCGATATTTCATTGAATTCTTTTAAAAAACAAGTTGTTGTAACAGATGGGATGGGGCAATACATATTATTGTGATGACTATTTACAAATACTTTTTACTGTTTACATTGCATGTTTATAGTAAAATTTAATTTATATTATAATTTGATCTCCACATTATCATTTTTTCTTTAATTTAAGCTTATAATACTGTTGTGGCAAAAACCACCTTGTATTTCAGTAATAAATAAACAATAAAATAAAAATTACACAAAAATGTGGAAAATTTTAGTACACAAGCCATTTTTACTACACATGAAAATCAGAATACAATAATAACCCTTTATCCCCATAAAGTATTTGACACAATCACTAAAAAATAAATGTGTTTAGGAAATATTAAATAAATTAAATTATTAAATATTAAATAAATTAGGAAAAATTAGTGAAAATATGACAGTACCTCTTTAGTCATAGCCCTATCTAGTTTATGCTGCATCAGACATTTGTAAACTTTGCCACTGCCTCGAGGGACATCTGCGCAAAACTTTTGATGATCTTCAACACATGCCAGATACAATTGCCTGTCGAGTTTAATGTCATCAGCTTGTAATTCTGACAGATGGAAAACTTGCTTCTGGCAGTCTTTAGATAGTTCGTTTACATGTTGTTGTAAGCATGCCAGGGTACGACCTTGTGACAAAGCCTATTAGAAAAAGCACATACAAAACAATTCTCATTAAAAAATTAAAAACTATTTCATGCATCATTTAATAGAATAACAAAGAATTCTTCTGTTGTTTTGTTGCGCAGTACATTGTAATTAATTACCACATTATTTACTACTACCTAAAAAGAAACAAAAAAGCATATTGAAACCTCAAGAACCTTATGGATTTGTTACAAATTAAGTAGGAGTTCATTAAAGCACATGATAAACTTTAACTGAGTTACACAAGGACCAACAAGACGTAATTGTTTGTTTCAGCATGTCGCAGCCCTGCCACTGACCTTCAACTGTGCAGGGAAAAAAACATAAACACTATCGTAAGGTCTGATAGATCTGTCTTAGAGAACAATGAACATTTGATTGACACAAACTTGTTAATGCAATATTTTTGAAGTTAAATGTTAACAGTCAGAAATGAAAAATAGGTTTTGATAAGCAATGAATGTAACTAAAGGCAACATCCACAGTCCATTTTCCAATTCTTTCTGACGCTGTTAATTGAGAGCAACATCACAAAAAAACATATTTACAATTTTCTGAAGCTCTCAAGGCAAATACGTCAATTTTCATAATGAATTATGAACCTTTATCAGGTATTGAACTCTGGAAAGGCAAATAATCTCATCTGCCATAATCATTCCATGTTTTATTACGTTATATGACGATATATGTTAAAAGGCAATGGTTTGAATCAGTTTTTTCAATTCAGTGCCATGTTTAAGTGCAAGGTCATCAGTAAAACCCACATGTACTTGCCTTATAGCTCTGTGAACAAGTCCAATATACTATTTCCTGATGATTAAAGTTCAATGAAAATTCAATTAAAGTTAAAGAAAATGTTCAATGAAAACCAGAGCTCTCTTTTTTTAATTAAGTTTTTATTGTAAATTTTCAATTTTCAAGAAGTGCTAAAATGTAATCATATTGCAATAATATTAATAATAATTCTAATTTTCCTCCATGGCATGTGGGAGTTCTACCTACGAGGATTCAGGGAACAAAGAGAGAGAAAATACTGTTGTTTAATAGCATAATTAAATTTAAAATTACCACTAAATTTGCAAAAATAATGACTTGACAAAGTGTCAAAATTGATTTTGAAAATGTCAATAACGGAAGGAAATCTTCGGTGCAAAATTATAAACATACTTTCCAAACAGTCTTTTACTACGCTTACTAATTAAGGAATATTTGGCAGGTGAATATTTCTTGAAAATTTATAATAAAATCTAAATTAATAAAAAGATGGTGACCACAGAACAAGGCCTTCTTAAGAGCATTCAAAAATGATATATTACACAAGTTTGCAGACTTGTAAAGCTGTAATGGGTAAACGTGTGTGTGTGTGAGATTTTTTTTTGTTTTTTTTTTTGTTGTTTTTGTTTTGTTTTGTTTTGTTTTTTCCTTTTTTTCTCTTTTTTTCCTGAAGTCCTTAAACTTAAGTAATAACGTAACAAATAGGTAAAAGCCACGATTCCCTCCCCCCCTTCTCTAAATAAAGGATAGCTATTTAGGGTATTCTAGATATTGGTGTATCACTAGAATATACTGCATATTTTTCAATATGAAGCAAATTTCATAGAACAAATTCTTTGAAAGGTGGAGGTCTTTTAAAGATGAAGAGTTTGGAATACCAGTACTTGCCTTGAAACCATCAACTAGTTACCTTACTTCAATTTTGCTATATTTTCAGTAATTGTTTAAAAAGTCAAATTGTCATAAACAATAGTATATTTTCATTTAAATTTAATTTACAGGGTAACAAATACACTATTATTTTCTACTGTCCTGATTCTATATTAAGATGACAGAGGTAAAAAAATGAAAATAAATTACATTATTGTTTATTATAATTTATACTATTACAATAACTGCTGAAATAATTACTTAATTAAGCAATGCCAAAATATCAAAATATATTTAACCAGACACCATATTAACGAACACATCAATGATTCAAGAATATGCCTGAAAGAATGTTGGACAGACTTATTTAACAAATGCATACAACTCTAAAGAATCCCTGCTAATTAGAGACATACAACAATGAAAATTATATACAAAGGAAAAGGGATGCAAGTTATATACAAAGGAAAAGGGAATATAGACATGCCAGACTCTTATAGAGGCATTGCTCTTGAAACACAGTGTTCAAACTTTCCTTGAAAATAATATGTAAGAGACCTTCACTCATCATGGACATAAAATTGTCCGATGCCCAATTTGGATTGAAACCAGATCGCTGCACCACCAATTGAAAGATCACTAGATCAACCGAAAGGAAGATTATTTTCAATTTATGTGGACTATACCAAAGCTTTTGACCTCCTCGACAGAGAAAAGCTCATGAAGAAGCTAGACCTACCTACACACAGACATCATGGCTCTGTTGTCAAATAATATCAACTTCCTACAAGAACCCATGATATCCCTACACAAATGGGCAACTGAAAATGATCTCAAAACAAACAGAGAAATCCATTCTGATGGTGTTCAGAAAAGGCGGAAAAATAGCCAGAAGCAAACAAATAGCTTTGGGAAATGAAATGTTAAAAATCATTGACATTTACAAATACCTAAGCATCATACCACAGACTACTAGACTAACTTTTAGTTACCACGTTCAAGAGAGTGCAGCCGCAGTAGTAATCGCAAAGCATCAAATAAAAAACATCAAAAACTTATCAATGAAAACTGCAATGCGCCCATTTCAAGCGAAAATACTACCGATAATGAGATATGGAATTGAGACAATATGGCCACATCTTAAAAACAGGACATGCAAACCATCAAAGTTAATTTTTTTAAAAAAGCAGCTTGGGTCTCAAAGCTTCTTCTAGACTAATCTATGCTCTGACAAAAGAAATCACCTTCACGGAAGATACAAGGCTACATATCTTTCTACCAAATACCGAGGTCTATAAGGCGGCAATCTCAGAAAGAATAAAGAAGAAGGAATTAATAGATGAATTCTACTCCTTGAACCCCATGATTCACCGAAGCTGAACCCACAAATAAATGCGGCACATCTACACAAGGATGGCGATGCATGGCTACCACTACCAACTGCGCGAAAGATAACATTTCCACAATCCAGACAGTGAATGTGTGCAATCTATGTAAAAATCTGTACCCAGGATACCATGTAACATCATGCAGAACTCTAGACAAAACTCTGACAGAACTTAGATCACTAGATCTAAGATCTAGTGATCTAAGTTCTGTCATACATGATCTTAGATCACTAGATCTAAGATCAACTATTACTATAAATGCACTGTAGCGTGCCCTTTGATCTTTAATATTCAAACATCAAAACATGGCTAAAATTAATTTCAAGTAATGTGGGCATCTTCTCAATCAAACAACTAGTGTTTCAACTATACCGTTAAATAAATCTCTTTTATGTAGTTCAATACTAGTCTAATACCCTGCTAATAATAAAAAACAAACAAAAAGAAACAAATTCAAACATTGCATTTTAATATCAATCTCCATATACCAAGATAAACCACGCGATGCAGAAACATGGCGGATGAGAACACTTATCTTTCTAGAACCATATAAGGTATACTGCCAGATTTATCAAATATATTCTCATTGAAAATGTTTAAACCTTTGAACTACCATGAAGCTAGATTGACTAAGAAAAATTCTCATTGGTAACTTCTGGTCCGTTGAAGTTTTGTAAATAACCCAAATGTTCACATCTTTTCACTTCTTAAGTTTGATCATGTCATGCATAGGGCTTTTGAGAATCAAACTAGGCACAATTATGATTTGGCATACTACTGCTGTAAACAGTTCACTCTACTTAACAATCAAGTCTGAGTAATATATATTTAACATTATGCCAGTAGATGAAATTTCTAAACATCACTTTCAAGACAAAACATTTATGCAAACAACAGATGCATGATCTATTGGGGTCTGGAATATCTGAAAATACTCTACTCCGCTACAAGTCACTTCCATACAAACTTAACAAGGTGACAGCCAGTCATATTGTCAACTTAAACAGGTGATGAATTATTTTCACAAGTTTTCAAAAACATTTTGATATGGATCTCACAGATCACACTGGCACAGTTATAAAGATAATGAATCATCTTTTTTTGCATTTCTAATATCTACAGACCTCCTTTGCTTGAAGATTTCCGCATGGAGTTTTCTCAAAATCTTCCTTACAACCTTCGCTGAACTGTGAAATTATTCTGAAATCACTAAATGCTATCCATTCGATGCGATGAATCAAATCTCTGCACGTGTCACTCTTAATTTGATCACGATTATCAATAAGGCAAGATAAAATACTATTTGCATTTGCTGGGCAATTTATTCTGTTTACATCAGAACCACAGGCATTTTTTGTCATGGCTTTAAGATTTTCATCGTCAATTAAATGTTTGATGTGCCTCCAAATGATATGCTGACATTTTTCAGTAATTGCAGAAACTTCTGCAACCTAAAATAAATGAAATGCACAATGAAAATAAAAAAAATAGCCAAGAGGCACACTACAAAATTGCACCTTTATTCACAAGATAGAAAATTAATTCACTTAAGATACCTTGAAAGACTGAATACACTCCAGAACATATAAATCACTACTTCCCGGTGGAAGAGAATCACATAACCTCCTTATATCTTCGTGGCAATCTATTTCATCAATTAACAAGCCAGTGACAGGAAGAGGATTTCTTTTACTACGATTATCGTTTACATTATGATCCGATTGTTGTTGAACATAATCCGGTGTTCGTGCATCTGCCGGATGCATTAATGTGGAAACCAAAAAAACATTGGCAGTAAACACTTGCAATATCAAAGTCAGCACAATTGTCAAATAAAACATTGTCCACAAAAATCACAAGTCACTATTTCAAAAACAAAGAGCTAACTTGTGGGTTAGCTGCAAGACAAAACAGCACAATACACAAGGCTCCCCGCCCGCACACTGACGATGAAGTTGGTTGTTCCACGTACTACGTTTATAACACCATCTGTACAGCAGCAAAAACAACACACTGTTGATGTTGCATATTGTGCATCACTGTACCCGCTATTTCAACCAATCGGTGTCCAAAATACATGTGATCCGTAGGAAGAAGAAAGAAAAAAAAAGAAAAAATACCGTAGTTCGTATTCTGGAACGAATCTTACATCATATTGACAACACGAACATAATTCTCCGGACATGTCAGGATCATGATGTTTGTATTTTGTTTATGATTAGACCATGGTAGAAAAGGATAAAAATTAAAATTAATTGATCTGAGAATATCAGTATTGTCAAAGAAAATACCAACACATTCTATCTTTTTTTAATTTATCCATCACGGTATTCTTTACAACTGTTAATTTTATTCCTGAATATTTAGTATTACATGCATTTATCTGTTTCTGTTCTTTTATTAAAAATAACAATCTCAGAGAATTATGTTTTATTAAAGAGTGTAAAGATATTTCATTCAATATTTTGAGTTCCATTGGTGCCCCCCCCCCAAATAGGGGGGGGAGGGTGGAACTCAACGATATGATATGTAAATGGAGTAATATGTAGATGCGCGTGTTTCTGAAGCAGGATTTCGGATCTTTTATTGGGGGCCAAAGGATCCCCCGCATTAATATTGTAACAAGTTCTCGTAATAAAATAACATATGAGTAGTTAACCACTATAATTCTAACAATTGTTGATATAGTTTCTTTTAAGCCCCCTCCCACCACTCATATCCCTCTTCAGCCAGAAACGTGTTTTTTTATTTTATTTTTTTCGTAAACTTAACACTTTTAACTGTTTGAAAAGAAAAAAAAAATATTATTTTTATCAGAAAAACATTTGGTTCAAGTAAGGTACACGGTAAACCCTCAGAGGCGATGGGTCTCCTTAAGCTCTCCCTCAAATTACGCTACGCGCTCTGATAGAAATTCATAAAACTTACGGATATGCGATTTTCCATGTCTCACCCTTCATACGCTTTGTTCTCGCCGCACTGTAATGCCAATTTACTTTCAAGAGCAAGTTTTCTCGCTTCGCTCTCCGGATCCATGTCACGGCAAGGCTCAGGCCTTGACCTTCACTATAATCATCCTCGAGAATATCCACCGCATAATAACCAATTTACATAAAAAAAAGTACTATTCAAGAATTACTCCAGATTTCAAACTGCGTAGTTGGCGCCGGAGCGGAGCGAAGCGAAGTATCGGTTTAAACTACTTCCGTGAGTTGTACCGTATACTAGACTTTAGGCAAACATTTTTGGTATTTTTTTCAGCGCCAAATTCAAATGCAGTTTTTTTAAAAATAAACAAATAATTATTACTCTCTTAGAACCATGTAACAGGATTAAAAAAATCTCCAAAGTTCTTCTTAAAACACAAAACGTGATATTCTTTTCGATTACTGAGCTGTAGTTAAAAAAAAAACATTTTTTACCATTTTAAATCACATACGCTTTGAAAATGGCTGTAACAGTCTGTGCATTCACTAGATTGTTTATTAAACATTTGTAATGAACGTTGCTGTTTTAAAAAAAATAAACTTTTTTAATAGTGGTACCTGATTAAATGACAACAGTTTCGCTTTTATAATAAAACAAAAGTGAAATTATTGTAATAACGTTGAACATAACAGAAAATATTCAGTGGAGAAAACAGATTCGTTTTCACACTGACACACTTTTATACACTTGCCCTGAAACAAATATCATGCATTAGTTACAATATATATTTCATTATATTGGAAAACCGTAATTACAAAATATAATATAATACAGAGTTTTCTCTCAAGGTCACGCGTATATGTTCACTTTCTTAAAAATTGCAAACGCGCCGTTTTTAGTCTCTGACACACTACGTCCACGCTAGAACTGCCGGATCACAGAAAAGTTAGTCACTCGGTGACTTTATTGAATCCGAACGTTTCGCAGCGTTGACAAATTTCTTCTTATGAAGATCCGTCAAAGAAAATCGTTTTACATGAACAACGGCCTAGTTTTCCGTTTGCCGACTTCGCTTCCATAGATTACTTGTTTTGCTGGAAAACACATTATTTTTAGCGCATCTCGGACTCACGAAACAAAGTTTGTTTCGTGAGAAGCACCTATTTGGAATTCGAAATATTAAAAACGCTAGGAAATTTGTAATGTAAATAATTAATTTAATCATAGTATATGTATGTTCCTTGCACATCTAAACAACATGCTACATTGCAATAAAATATTATTTCAGACTATTATATTCAATTTAGGTTATGGCAGGTTAGATAGTGCGAATAGTTAGAATATCGTATAGTTCCCATTTTCCTCACCTTTTTTGCTAATATGCACAAAAATGTACGTAAAATATCACCCATAAGTTGTTCTTAGGCGTTTTCTCTAATAAGATCATTTTCAATAAGTTCCGATAATTCTGTCGCAAGATCTTCTACAACTACATTTTATTCTTCCCCGGATTTGCTTAACGCCTCCATATTTTTATTCCCTAATGTTTGGGGAGATAAACTCCAAAAAGTCAGTGTAATTGTGTTCACTTCTACTTCTGCAATTGCTCTATTTATCGTTTGTAGGCGAATCTATATAAACATTCAAAGGTGACTGTTTTGTATGTTTGTAAGGTATTGTTTACGTTTTAATAAGAATAAGTTGTTACATTCATTTCAAAATCGGTGTTTGCACTCTTAAGAATGTAAATATAAGAAGTCGCACGTAAGAACGTAAATATGCTTCTGTAACATGACAGTTTGGTCGTATTTACATACCTGAAGTTCAAGTTCAATAAGTTCCAAGAAAATAGAGTTCGTAGGTTTTCGCAAATGTATTTTTAAAAATACGTTAATACGGATGCAAGTGATAAATTATATTTGGCGCGCAGCGTTTCACTTGTCGCATTGAACGTAACCTAATAGATATATTTGGGCCGCGTTGGTTTAATTCCCAGCATACTCACTAAGCAGCGTTAAAACACGCAAAAACGTTTTTGGAAATTCATTAGAATCTTCTCACCGGATCCAAAAACAAATTATCAGATCCCAAGCAGAAGACCGAAATGCGCCGATTGACACCTCATAGGTTTCGATTGGTGCACGAGAAGTGGTCTAACCGCAAGTGACGGATCCGCACACACGCTCTCGCGCACTCACAATTACTCAAATAATGTATAGAATTTATTTTTCTCAAAATACGGAAAAAGTAAATCTTTTATAATATAAATTTGAAGATACACGAAATGAATGTTTAAATATATATTTTTTAAAACTTGTTTCAAATTGGGGTTCAGTTGCCCCTCCTGAATGAAACCACCTCTGGCTGGTTTACACATTGCAAATACGGATGTGCCAGTTACGTAAGGTTAAAGTGGTCAGTTTGTTATTCCGATATTCAAGAATAATTCAGCTTTCCAGCAATTTTTGTAAATAATTATGGTAATTAGCTTGCGTTGATCTTTGTGCAAAGCAGTTTACACACAAGTAGAGACTCGGGGGGGGGGGGGCGCCGTGCGTGAGCATGCCAGTAAACCAAATATTCTTGTTCAGGTGGCATCGTCAATGACTGGCACAAAGATCTTGCCAGTAACTTGCAACAAGGCGGTTATTAAGGCTGATTTACACGTTTGCCAACGGGGTTACCAGCACCTACAGTCCTGGCTCTCTGCGACGGAATAACTGTTTACACCGTGCTAGTAATGGCACAGTATAACAGTTATACTGTGGTAATGGCATGCAAGGTGAGATTTTTTCTCGCTGCTCTTAGCTTATGAACGCTCTTGGTAACGTGCTGCTAATAGCATTCGGCGCGCCAGCAATAGTGTGACCTCGCGGTTCTTATATCCTGGTAAAAACTGTTCGCAAGTTTTCCGATTCCGAATAAACCGATCAAACTTGTCTGCTTCTTCATCCGTCATTCAAGAAGGCTTCTGTTTCTCAGTAATTTTTATAAATAATGATAATAAGCTTAGGTTGATCACGTGCAAGTATAAAGCAGTAAACACATGTATTGGGGGTAGCCAGCCCGAGTATAGAGGTCACCATTTTGAAAAAGTGGAGGGAGAGCGCGTGAGCGCAGTAAACCAAATATTCCTGTTCAGCTGGCATCGCCAGCGCGAAGGTCTTGCCAGTCACTTGACACAAGTCGCTTACACGTTGCCAGTCTCCACTTGCCAGTTACTGGCAGCCTCGACTGGCACGTTTGCTGGCAACGTGTAAATCAGCCTTAAATAAACGCATTATTTGGCATTGGATTTTTATTACTTGGCGCGAGAGGACCAATCTTCACGATGGAATATCCAATGGCATTTTGCGTCTTTCTCAGTTGTGCCGCTAGATCGCCAGCCATGCTCGATCATGCGACTGAGAGACGCGAAATGCCGAGAGATATTCCATCATGAAGATAGGCCCTCACGCGCCAAGAAATAAAAACTCAAGTATAATAAGTTCAGCTACATTGGAAGTGCGAGATGAGAGTAGGTTCAGACTGTTTTTGTATGCTTGACAGAAGCGTCATAGTTCGTCAACCTTTCTACTATCTGGTTTAATTCTTCGCTACACTCGAAAAGATTGGCTAAGCTATTCGTTATGTCTTAAACCCAGTATTCGACCATGCATTCTTATCTCCAAACAATTTACTTGGAAAACAAAACAATGCTGTCTTCAAATCAACCACCGTATTTACTGCGGAATATCTTTTGAATTTTTGCTCAAATGCCGTTTTTTAATGATTTTGCATTTCCAATCAAATTTCAAGACATGAGGCAACTCTAGATCTCTTAATATTTTTGTTTCTCTTCAATAGGGCATGAACGAAAATATTTTTTCTTTTGCATTTATTGTCTAATACCAGAGAAATAAATATTTCTAATTTAAGTAACCCCAGGAAACTAGTGGTGCTACAGAATGGTACACTTTCTCGCAATAGTTTTCTAATATGTCAAGGCTAGGCTGGCTTTTCGGTATCCCCCCCCCTTGTCACGTACTCGGGTGTTCTATATAACGAAGCGTACAGGTTCTCGAAGAACAAACACGTACTCGGGTGCTCGAAAGAGATGTGTGCAGGTGCTCGGAGGATTTTGATTGATTAGGCTTTAGAGGGCGCTTTAACTACTGAAGTCATTGGCG